TTGGAAGGGTAGAGATCTGTCCAGCCTCTGCCTCATAGGAATCCGTTTTGGGCTGATTCTGGTCATTTTACCTCCTGAGCTTAGGCTCAGTCTGAAGACATCATTTTACAGTGGGAGTGCTGGAAAGGCAAGGTTTGAAAATATATGACTACTATTATCCGGAAAAAATTCTCCTGATTACCAGACATGAAAAATGTAAGCAGATGATTGTATCCTTACTGATAGCCAGCCAAAACAAATGTTGTCCTGTTGGCAATCTACTCAACAATATGGCGTAGATAATTATGAATACACTATACCTTCTTTCCTGTTTTGATGAGAATTGTACAAAATAACATTTGTCGGAATTGCTACTAATTTTCGGTGGCTTTACAAAGATTACTGGAATTGACAAATGTATAACTCATATACAGTGCTTATAATGAAGTTTTCAAAGACAAAGTGGCTAATGAGTATGGTCAGTTTGGAGAGTTTATATAAGACTAGTTTCTGCACAGGAAAATACGAAATGTTTTGAAATTGTACAAGTCATAGATAAGGGACATTTGATCATGGTATTTCCCCAGCTTCTCAGCAAACCCAAGCACTTGCACGGCATTGCATATTTGGTTTTGAATCTAAAGAAACCTTTTCTAAACTATCAAATTACAAAAGACCACCAGGCTTTTTGTAGCTCGACCCACCAGGCTAAGAAAAGGCTAACCTACCATTCTAGTCCCGCTATCTAAATATTAGGATCAAGTTATTATCATAGGAAGAAACAATAAAAAAGAATACAGCCAAAAAGATAGGGGGAAAAGTAGTATTTAAGTATTAATCACCAGTTAAGCAAACTATTCTTGGAGTTTTTAATAGTTTTGTTGACATATAATTCATATATCATATACTTTAATAGTTTGGTCTTATCAAAATGATCAATACAATCATTTCCAGAATATGTTCTTCCTTCTTGTACAGTGAACCCTCGCCACTTCGCGCTTCGACTTCCGCGGCTTCACTCTATCGCGGTTTTTGCATAACAGCGCATGCTCTGTCATTACTGCCACTGATTGGCTCATACTGTACACGCTTGATGCCATAAATAATATAATAAATAATAAATGATAATTGTAACATCCAAAATGTTTTACTGTATTTTCCCTTTTTCGTTTAATAAATTGGGTAATACAAGTGTAATGGTGACTAAAGGGTGTTTTTTCATGTCCTCTATGCTCTAACTTTGAAAATATTTGATTTACAAATAAGGAATCCTACTTCGCGGAATTTCATTTATCACGGTAGGGTCTAGAACCGATTAACCGCGATAAACGAGGGTTCACTGTACTCATTGCTACTAGCTCCTTTTTTCCCTCCAACCTCCCCTCTTATACCCCCAATATGCCATTAATCCAGCCACTGTCTATATTCTGTTACCTATCCTGGATTTCTTATACTGGAAAATCGACCAAAACAAAACAGAAAGCACACCCTATTCTGGGATTTTTGTTACATTATGAGTCATGTCCTTCTCAACTCATAGTGACCCTACAGGACAGGGTAGCACTACCCCTGCATGGTTTCCCAACTGTACCTCCTAACAGGAGCAGAAAGCCCCATCTTTCTCCCAAGGAGCTAGCTGATGGTTTTGAACTGCTGATCTTGCTGGTCACAGCCCAACGCATAACCACCCTGCTATCAGGGCTGGAGTTGGGTTACAATACAAAAACAAGGTCAGCAGTTTGAAACCACCAGCTCAACAGGAGAAAGATGAGGCTTTCTACTCCTGTAAAGAGTCGCAGTCTCGGAAACTTACAGGGGCAGTTCGACCTTGTCTTAGAGAGCGCTTTTAAGTCCGAATTGACTCAATGGTAGTGAGTTTGGATTTTTTTTTCCTTTCTATGGTACTTTTTTAAAAAAATTTGTGGTTTGCTATGATTTATTTTCTCACTCTAAATAAATATTCACTTTTGTATCTATCATTGTGGTTGTACTTGGTTGTGTTTTTTTTGTGTGTTTTTTTTTCCTTACGAGCTCTCTCTCCCAATTTTAAGTGTCAGACTCCAGGAAACCTGGCCGACCCCGGGGCAGAGCGCTCTGAGGTGCTGCTGCAGCTGCTGGAGGTGCTGCACTCAAGCTACAGGCCTAGAAGCTGATCATGTGAATTGATCAGCTCTGAAATGTGGGCACAGGGCAGACAAGTCGCCAGACTAGGTCAAATCACCATGACTATTTATTGGCTCACCCCTGAGGTATTTTAGATCATTGGTGACAAAACTAGGCTCATTCTTCTCTTTGCTTCTTCTTCTTTTTTTTTTTTAATAAATCATTTTATTGGGGGCTCTTACAGCTCATATAGCAATCCATACATCCATTGTATCGAACATTTGTACATATGTTGCCATCATCCTTCTCAAAGCATGCTCTTTCAGCCTGAGCCTTGGTATCAGCTCCTCTTTTTCCCCTCCCTCCCCCACCTTTCTTTGCTCCTTAAGGAGCCCTAGGATCAAGAGAAACCTACCTCTCTCCATTTGGACCCATTGCTGATTTTCTCCTGATGAACAGAATTTGAATAGAAACATGTTCATGTCCTTAATACAGGCAAACTCTTTACACTGCTTAAACAAGCAGGCATCTTTATAAAAGTGAAGTGATTCAGGCGCCTTAAATAGTAAGACTTGTCAAGTGCATGTACTGGCATCATCTTATCCAGTGACAAAGGGGGGAGGGGGAGGCTCAGCTCACCAAAATCTGTCCCAAATTAGAGAGTAAAATGGTGTCAGTGCTGTTTTCCTCCTCCTTCTGGAAGCTGTGGTTTCTGGAATTCCACTGTGACTTCTGGCCACTAATGTGTGTCCCTAAGCCTATAACAGTGAAAGGGCAGAGCAGGTCGAGCTGGGGAGGAAAGCGGACCAGAGGAAAAGGGATACGCCTATTTTAACCCATGATGGTCCTTCAGTCCCTTGGAGGAAATTCAACAGAATGCTGGCCTCGTGGAAGCAGTAGACCTCTTTAAGATGAGCTGGCCACAACTCCACTGCCCCCAACTATCCCTGCCAGACAGCCTGAGACACACTGGCTAGACTGATCTTTCCATATCTCCCCTGACCAGTTTTTTGGGGGGGTTGTTTTTTTTTTCTCTTCTCTGGCTTAGCCCACAGCTTCCCTACCTCCAATCCACCATGTTTATTTCCACTCAACTCTTTTCTCCCTTCTGTTTCAGTTTTCCCAAATTAGAACCACCACCCATGACTTCCCTGTATCCTCTATTGAGCAACTTTGCACCAGGCATTATGCTAAGCGCAGGGGGAGTCAAGGCTGAGAGTAACAGTAGTTTGCAAACACGCCCTTTGGGGTCAACTGCCTGGTTCCACTCCTCTACTGTGCTTCAATTTCCTCATCCATGTAAGTGGGATAAGGAACCCTGGTGCTACACGCTGTTAGCTGAAACGTTGGCTGTTTGAACTCACTCGCAGGTTGGCAGAAGAAGAGAGAGGATGATCCACAAAGGAACCCCTATCAGGCAGTTCTGTGACTCAATCAGAGGGCATCTAGCCACATACTAGTATTGAAGGAATCATGATTATGGTTCGCTCCTCACAGGTGAGGGTTGAGTTAATACATGCAACGGGATTAAAACCACTGTCTGGTGCTCAGAAAGCACTCTGTGAGTGCTGATTCTTAAGGCCTAGGTCTTGCCTTTCAAGGCACTTGGTCTACAGCGGGCCCTCACACCCGTCACTCCTGGCAGGCAGGGCTGGTACTCCATAATCTGGAAGCATGGCACCCACCTCTCCTACATGAGTCAGGTACAAGTCACAGGACAAGCTGGCTGTGTGCAGCTGGATGAGCTGCTCCTCTCCTGATCTCACTTTAGGCCTCTCTCAAGGAAGCAGGGCAGACCACAAAGGAATTCAAAGATTCCCAGCAAGCTTCATGTTCTGTGTCAAGTAGCCTGAGTTTCCCACTTGGACAAATCACTTGACTTTTCCGCACATGCTGTAAAAAAAACGGGAATGCATTACTAAGCACCTCCTAAGGCTGTGATAAAGAACTGTAACGAAGATAAAGAAAACAGACCTTCACCAGACCCTCACGACTGGACCGAGCGACAACATCTCCGGGTAAAAACCGACGTTGTCCAGGATTTCATTTTACTTGGCCCCCAATCAACCCTTATGGAAACAGCAGTCAAGAAATCAAACGACGTATTTATTGCATCAGGCAAATCTAGGGCACAAGGCCTCTTTAAACGGTTTAAAGTGCAAAGACGTCACTTTGAGACTAAGGTGTGGGCCTGACCTGTCCCATGGTATTTTCCATACCCTCATATACATGTGATAGCTGGGCATTGAATAAGGAAGGCCAGAGAAAACCCGGTGCAGGGAACGAATATTGGAAGCACCAGGGACTCTGGAACAAATAAATCTGTCTTGGAGGAAGTTAGGGCTAGCATGGTCCTTAAAAGCGAGGACGGTGAGATTTCCTCTCACGAATTTCCGAGTGCTGTCAGCAGGAACTAGCCCTGGAAATGAGCACCATGCTCGGTGGAGAGTCTTTATAATGAGGCCGACCCAGACAAGGCAGATTTTGACCCCGTGGCTGCAACAATCGGCTCAAACATAACAATTGCGAGGATGGCGCAGATGCGGCGTGTTTCCATCTCACAGGGTCGCTAAGAATCGGAGACCACGAACACCCTGAACGACCGCGGGGCGGTGCTGGGGCTCAAGAAAATCTGGCCCGCTGCGCGTGCCCGAGCCGCGTGCCCGCGGCCACCGC